TTCCCCTGTGGAACAAGAAGCAGGGAACTCCTCCTCCTCCGGGTCCTGGTGGAAGGGAAGCGAAGGTGGACGAGGCGGCGGCGGCGGCCGGGAAGGGGAGGCCACAACCACACCAATTAGATGGGTAGCGTGGAGCCTGTCGAGGAGGCAGGCGGAGCAGAAGCCGGTGAAGGGCGGCTCCGACGGGTGCTTGGGGCACCTCCTCCCCATCCCCGACGCAGCATCGCCATCGCCCATCCAGATAGGATGGGATGGGATGGGGGATTCCGCTTCGAATCAAGTGCTTGGATTGGAATCTTGGACTGGTGAGGAGGTGAATTGGAGGCTGGATTGGATGCCGGAGATCAAACGGCAAGGTTTGACTAGGGTTTTGACCAGCGATCTGGTCAGGTCGGGTGGGTGGAGTGTGTTGTAAGGGGGGGGCCTACACGGCTAGAGGAAGAAGACGAATAGAGGAGAGAGCCGTTGGCCCGTTGCGTTGCATCGCGCTCCTTGCTCTCCTCCAAGTCCTCCTCCGCCGTTGGATCTGGAGGATGGATGGATATGGATGCACGACCAGCATAAGGATCAAGTCACGCTGCCACGTGGGCCTGTTGTCAGGATAGAATTCGCCTATTCCATACCTATCTTAAAACAAGTCCTAACTATCTTTTCTCAAAAAAAAAAAGTCCTAACTATCTTGAACAAGTCATTTTATTTAGGAAGAATTATCTATTTGGCATTGAAACAAATCAGTGTTTTGTATTTGGCACTCGAAAATTTGAACTTTCCTATTTAGCATCAAGTTAAAATTTTCTTTCTTAAATGGCACTGCCGTCCATTTTCATTGGTTATCTGTTAGTTGACTGATTTTACTGTGTGTCAGCATTTTTTTTCTCCCTATGTCCAATGTACCCCTCTGTTAGATACGGAAGACTGAAATTTGACCAAACGTGAGGGAATTACAATTCACCTCCGCAGCGAAGCCATGGAGCTCCGCCACGCCCGAGCCCGCGTTGCCATGGCTCGGCACTGACATGGACCTGCTGTTGCTGCTACAATGACTTGGAGGAGTTCCATTGCAGACGGGCCAAGCTTCGCTTGGCGCCTTCCATGGGTTGCTCAGGATGAGCTCGCACGGCCCGCGGTGGTGGCGCCTATGGGGACCGGTGCCGAGCTTTGCATATTCGCAGCACACACAGTCTTGCGCAAGCCACCGCAAGGCTTCAAAGCCAGCTTGCTGCATTGCCGCTGCCAAGATCGAGCGAAGATTCGGCGGCTGCCTAACGCGCGCGCGTCTCGGTGGCGGCCGCCGCCGTACGCCACCACCGTGGACCACACACGTGGATTACGACGTAGTCGTCATTGCCGCCGTCGCGCATTAGATCGCCTTGCCACCGCCGCGAAGAGACTCACGCGGCGCCGTCTTCCTTAGGGCCGACGGGAGCCACTCGGACGGAGCCGCGTGCGACCTCGGCCCCTGCGCGTGCTCGGCGATTGGGGCGTGCGCGGCATCGCATCGCTTTTCCCGCCGGAGCATCGAGCGACGAGCAACCCTCGGCTCTCGACCGTCGTCGTGTGAATCTCCGGCCCTTTCGTGGGAAGAAACCACCGGTTTCTAGCCACGCTTTACTACGCCGCCCCCCACGGGCGCGCCTCGGCCGGCCGGTCGTGCCGCTTCTGCGCGCGCCGCTAGTCTCGTCTCGCGCCGCCACCTCGCGCGCGCCGGCCGCCGCTGCTGACTCTACTCGCGTCTTTGCCCACGCGCCGCAAGGGAGTACGCTTTGTCTTTGGAGAGGTTCGCTCGCGCGCCTCGCCGGCACACCGCCGCGCGGGGAGCTTCGCCGCGCCCGCGACCCTCGAGCCGCCGCCGCACGCCTGAGGCCGTGCAGCGCCGTCGTCTGACCGTGATGCTCCGCCGTCCACATCGAGCAGGAGGTGAAGGTGGACGGGACCAGATCATGGACATGTACATGAAGAGCATGCATCAATTCACGGATTCCCTGGCCAAAATGAAGCTCCCTGCCTTGGACATAGACAACGGTAGCAGCGGGAAGAGCAGTCCCGCAGCAACCACACCCGACGCAGACTCCACTGGTGCCGACTCGAGCGCGGTGAAGAAGCCGGCCGCCGCAGGGCCGCAAGAGAAGCCATCTCCCAAGGTGTTCTATGGCAGCCGGCCATGCAGACCCCGCCTCCGTCGCAGATCGCATGAGGCGCGAGCCTTGCTGCGTCTGCGAGCCCGCCTCTGTCTTTGGCGCGCCGTGCATAAGACCTCTCGCTTCTTTGCGGTCGCTTTCGCCGGCGCTGCCGCCATCGCTTTGCTTGCTCTGGCGGCATGGCGGCGCGCGTGTGCTAGCCGCTTGCCGCTTGCGTGCTAGCTAGAGGCGAAAGCGCCACGCTGCTGGCGTGCTTTCGCATTGATGGCCGCACACGCTCGTCGTGTGGGGACTCCGTGGGGTATTTATGTCATTTTGCCAGTCACTTGACACCGTTACTGTCCTAGATGGACGGCAGTGCCATTTAAAAAAGAAAATTTTAACTTTATGTTAAATAAGAAAGTTCAAATTTTCGAGTGCCAAATACGAAACACTGATTTGTTTTAGTGCCAAATAGATAATTCTCCCTTTTATTTATGGTTTGACTTAGACTATACAAATTGGTCCAAAATATTCAAATTGGTTAAATTTATCTCTAACCGACGTTTTCTGTCCATGCTACTTGTGTTTTGGGTTTAAACATTGGTGAGGCGATGCATGACACCCGCCTACATTAAAAAAAATACCGAACATTTTTTCATACATTCTAATATCTCAGGTCTATCCGAACAAAATAACCACAATTCTAGAAGTAATCTACTTTTTTCAACACACATGACATACAAACTCAAAAAATTTTACATCCCACTTTATGTTTCACCGTGTGACACAAAAAAAATTGTTAGGGGTGAATTGGCCTGTATACCAAAGCCTGCGATCCATAATTTGCTTTATCGATTATTTTTAATCGTCTTATATTTCATTGTTCAAGTTTCATTACTTAGTTCATTTATTTATTCTATTTTATTATTGTTTATGTAAATTATACTAAATCTTTGTGTTGCATATTTGCATTCTTGCATGCGGCTTAACATGCGATTCACTACATTTAGCTCGCTCACTCCAGGGCTGGAAACCAGGAACTGTTCTCTTGCATCTTCGATTTTTACCTATTTTTTAGTGAATTTAATTATATAACTTTCTATTTTTAAAATTTTACAACCTTATAAACGTTTAGCACAAATTTCTTGCAACAACTTTTTCACAACTCCTATAACAGAACCTTCGTGTGTAGAAACTTAATGAGTTTTTGGTTATTCAACTACATGTGTGTTAGAAAATATTTATGTGCATGACTTTTTTCTACCAAACTCTTAGCATAATTCTTTCATATTACATAACTTAATACACATAGAATCTGATTAGTTGTCTACAATAGTCTTAACCCGCATTAGACCCTTATGCAACCAAAATTAAGACAACATAGTTTCAAAAAAAAAATTAAGACAACATAAATATATGCAATGTCTTGGTGTTTGCTTGTACTACACAAATAAGCCATATTTAGTAAAATTATGTTTGATTATTTAAATTTTGTTGTATTTAGTAGCCTCCATGTTTCAGTAGAGACACCATATTTATAGCAGAGGTAAAGGGATGTGGAATCTGTATTATCTAATACGGCCAAATTCGGTATAATTAAAGTTACGTAATATGAAATGTATCTTCATTTGACACCATACAAAAACAATATTATTTTTCTAATGCGACAAGCGCTAGTACGTGATTATTATGCCGCTTAAATGTTATATTATTTTTTCAAGCATTTTAATGACCTCAAATATAAAAACTCAAAACCATAAAGTCGTAGATCTCGTTGAGAGCTACAACTTTGATGTAAAGTGTATCTTCATTTGACACCATACAGAAAAGATATTCTTTTTTCTAATACGACAAGCACTAGTACACGATTATTGTCCCTTAAAATTTGATATTATTTTTTTAGTATCTTAACGTCCTCAAATGAAAAAAAAAACTCAAAACTAGAAAGTTGTAGATCTCATTGAGATCTACAATTTTCATATAAAATTCATCTTCATCCTGCATCGTATCGAAAATTTATGATTTTTTAAGGTTCAGTCTTGTCACACAACTCTCGGTGGTGTGACAAAACAATACTGTCACGCCAACAGGAGTGGCATGACAAGTTTTTCACATCGGAAATGTCTAACATGGCAGATGTTGCCGCGTCAATACATGTGGCGCGACAACTTATTTTGTCGCGCCAGCGGCACCGTGACCAAAAGGGTCAGTTCTAAAAAAAATTGGGAGCAATTATTATTAATAAAACGATTAAAAAAATCTCCAGTTTATTATAAGATGTTTTTTAATCTGTCACGGTCTTCTAAATTATGCTTTGACCATTGTAAATGGTTTTAGTAGCTGAGGTGCCAAATATACCCGATGTTGGAGTTGGTGGTTGAAATTAGACTACCATAAGAGTTATACCCATAAATAATCTTAGAACATGCATCACTCCCTATCTAATAACGTTTTCATTCTCATAAGTTACCATCCTAAAATTGCCGTAGCAACACACGGAGAATTCAACTAGTTTATATAAAAATAATAACGTATATACATAGAGACGATAGACATGTGAAGCCAAGCCACAACATTTTAATTTCCTAATAATAAAGTTAGCACATGATCAATCGACTAGCTATGTAACTGAATCAAAGAGACATGCATACACATATGGCTAATTGATCCTAGGCAAGCATCATCTACTGCTACTATTACTACTAGGTAGAGAACTAATAGAGATAGACTGGTGTCTTCATCTCTATCTTGTGGTAGCACAACTTCAACTTACACATAGGCCGGCTCAGCTCGGATTTAATTTAGAAGTTTGGATGGCTCGATTCCGATCCATACATGCATTGCACAGGCAGAGCACTGAGCACGCATATACATCCTGGGTTACATATCATGCACCCGGCCGTATACGTGTGTGTGATGGATGGATGAAGAAGAGACACCCAGCCTGAGCTCAAGGTCGAGATCGCCGTCAGCATCCTCCGGGCCACCACCTGCTGGAGCATGCGCAGTCGTAGGGGTAGTAGAAGTGGCTGCAGCAGTGTTGCAGTTGCTGCACACCACTCCAACCCCCAGCTCCAGCTCCAGCTCCATGGACGACGGGCGCTTACTGTCGCCATCACGATCAAGCAGCTTCTTGCTGCTGCTGGTGGTGGTGGGGCGATGGCAATGGTACTGATGTGGTGGCGGATAGTTGAGGTTGGGAAGAATCATCATCATCATCGCCGGCGGTGCCCTGGCCGGTGGTGGTGGTGGTGGTGGTGGTGGTGGGATGAGGAGGAGGAGGTGAGCCGTGCCTGAGCCTTGCCCTGTCCCTCCTGTGGACATTCATGTGGCCCCCGAGTGCCTGCGCGGACCTGAACTCCCTCTTGCAGAAGCTGCAGGGGTAGGATCGCGGTGGCCAAGTGAAGCTGCAGCTGCTGTAGCTCCATGACGACGATGCTGCCGCCTGCTGCTCTCTGCTTGATGCGCCCTGCTGCAGCTGCTTCTTCCTGCTCTCCCTCTCATCCATGCTAGCTGCTACTGCTAGATCTAGCTCTGCTACGGGTACTTCTCTTGCTTGCAATGTAACCAGCAGAAGGTATAGCTAGCTAAGAGATACTATGCATGGTGGAGTGCTTTGCTAGGTGGTATGTAATGGCCGGTATTGCTGGTGCGTAGTGATGAGTGGAACGAAACGGTGTTGCTGGCTAGCTAGCTATTTGTACACCGATCGATGTCCCGCTACCTCCATCACTAGTGCAGTAGTGAGTGCTGCCTGCTCTCTGTCTCACTAGCCAGCCGGTCATGGATCGGATAGATCGATAGTCGTCGTCATGCAGATCCACTGCACGACTCACTCACTCTCTGTGTGTCTCTCTCTCTACTGAACAGTTGTGCATGCTATCATGGCGCGCGTTGGACTTGACTGGGCGATCTCTCTCTCGCTCGCTCTCTCCCTCTCTGTACACACATGCACAGACAGACAGACAGACAGAAAAAGATGGAGTGTGCGAGGGAGTCCGGGCCGGGCCAGCAGCAGAGAGGAGACGACGCACTGTAGACGATGGTGCATTCATTCATTCATGGCCGTGTTTAGTTGGAGGCCGATTCGGCGCCGCCGGATTCGGCGACACTGTTCATGCACTGTAGCGTTTTGTTTTTATTTGATAATAATTGGCCGGTTCAAAACGCCAGCAGCAGCAATTAGAGGAGACGACGCACTGTAGTTTAACGATGGTGCATTCATTCATTCATGTAGCAGTTGCATTTCACTGTTGTGTGATGGACGACTACAGGAGTACATGAACATGTGAGCTAGAGCTAGCGAGGAGTCGGAGGAGAACCCGAAATAGCTTCCTCGGTATCGCCATCTCTCGTTTGTCAAAGGTGAGCAGTGAAAATCTTTCCTTGCACAACAAACTGAGACTGCAGGCTTGGCCTGGCCACCCTCAGCACTCACCACTTCACCAGTGACCAGTCCGTCGTCCTCTTTGACCACTGCACGTACATGCACGTGCATATCACTAGCTCTGCTGACAATCCAGTAGCCAAGATGATCCATCATCAGCTGTGTGGCCTGCCTACCTTACTGAAGCATATGCATCCCACCAGTCCTAATGCAGGTACACGCAGCTTATACTAACTGGTATAGGGCCCTGTTTGTTTCCGCTTATAAGCGGCTTGTCGGTGGAAATAAGCGAGAATCCCGCCAAACGCTTTGCTTATTTCCACCGATTCTCGCTTATGTGGTAAGCCGCTTCAGAGATTTGAACTACGAGAAGCGAAAAGCGAGAAGCGAGAAAATCTTCGCTTAGATTATAATCCAAGCGTGGCCAGGAGAAGTGGAAACAAACGGGTCCATAGATGGCCAACGGGCTGGCCCGGCCCGGCCCGGCACAGGCCCATGAAAGCATGGCCCGATAGCCAACGGGCCGGCACGGCACGCCGTGCCTCCCGGGCTGTGCCTCACAGGGCCACGGGCCTGGCCTCCGGCCCAGGCACGACCTACTGGGCCGATTTTCGTGCCGGGCCGGCCCGAGAAGCACGGCCACTCCAGCGTGTCGGGCCAGCCCGAGGCCCACGAGAGAGGGAAGGAGAGAGCAGGAGGTAGGCCAGCCACGGGAGGAGGTCGCCGCCGCCGGCGCGCTTGCCCCAGAGGCAGATCCGGTCACGGGAGGGAGACGGCCGGCGCGCTCGTTCCGAAGGCAGATCCGGTCGCTAGCGCGCTTGCCCTGGAGGTGGGGCCACGCGGGGAGGCATGGAAGAGGCGGTCGCCGCCAGCGCTTGAGGGTGAGCTCGCTGAGGTGGGGGAATAGACCTCGCCGCCACCGGTGCCGTCCTCGGGGAGGCGACAGTTGGTGAGCTCCGCGGTGCAGAGGGACCGGAAGGAGAGGAATGGAGGGAGGCGAAGAGTCTCGTCGGAAGGGTGCCGGAGGACAAGTTCTAGGAGGTTTTTGGTGGCGAGGGAGCGTATCCAGGAGTCAAAGTCTGAGGCGGAGGGACGGGCGATGAGGAGATGGAACCTCATGGTGTTGCCGCGATGGGAGGCGAGGATCCAGGACACGGCAGCGGAGAGGGAGGAGGCGGGGACGGGGAGGTGGGAGCCGAGAAGGTGGAGTGATGCGGAGGGCCATAGGCGGCGCCAGCAGTGGGATAGGACTTGGGTGTGCCCAACGACAGGGAGGGGGAGGAGGGAGAGGATGGTGGTGGCGGTCGCGAGCGGCGCGGCGGGGAGCGGGGTAGCCAGGTAGGGATTTAGGGTTCGGGGAATCGGGGAGGCGGCCTGGCGGGCCGCTAGCGAGCCGGCTGCTCTATAGCAGGCCGTGCCGTGACGGCCCACGTGCCTAGGGTCAGGCCCAGGCACGGCCTGCTGCTCCGGGCCAGGCCAGCCCGGGCCCGCTAGCCTCCGTGCTGGGCCAAGGCCAAAAAAATGGGCCTTGGGCCGGGCCGACGGGCTCGGGCTGCATGGCCAACTTTGCTAACTGGTTAGAACATTTAAAAAAATAGTTAGAGGAAGAAGTTCCCCCACTTTATTTCAACGAAACAATGTGCATAATCATCAAGCACCATACAACCGATTCGAGGCATGCCCACCGCCACAGGTATCACTCTACAAACAATTAGCTATATTGTAGATCTCTTCATAGTTCATACACAAAAAAAGAAAAGCAAACTACTTGTTGATCTATAGCATATCACTCATCATATATATATATATATATACTCGGAAGGATCTAAAAGGCAACCAAAAGAATAATGGTGAATAAGGCCCCGTTTGGCACGGCTCCACTTCACTAGTGAAGCTATTTTTTGGGCTTCAGCTCCATGAACAGCTCCATCGGTGGAGCTGAAGCCGTTTGGTAAATCGTTTGGCAAAACAGCTCCACATACAAAGTTCCTTAAAATATGCTCTCACAGAACACCATGTAGGATAAGGTGAAGTCGGGTGAAGCCACTATTTTTGGCTCCATCCCGCCTCAAACCTTTGTGTGACCACGATTTAAGGGGCTTCCTGGATGAAGCCATTTTGTTTTATCCTGTTTGGCACAAAGCAGCTCCAAATGGCTCCTGGAGCCAGTGGAGAAGCCCTACCAAATGGAAAGAGTTTCAATTTTTTCTCACCGACCATACAAGTTATATGTTGGCTATGTTCAAAGGTAAACATTAGCCTATCTTATAGCTCTTGCCAAGTTCACGTAGTCATAAGGTACCTACACCTTATGAACAAGGCTATAGAGATGGTGCAGAAACCAAACAAGCAAAGAATGGAGAAGGACGCCAAAGCACAATATAGAAACCGTTCTGGCCTATTTTTTTAATAACAATTCGAGTAGGTTTTTGAGGAAAAACAAAAAAACAATCCAAAACCACGCCAAATCATCTCCAAAAATAATGAAACTTGGTCCCTACCTTGACGAATTCATGATGGTAATCCCATGTGATCTTTCCAAAAAAGCCTGGGCTTCATCACGAACTGAAGAATTTCTCTCTCAAATCGGGGGGGGGGTTCAAGAAAGCCAAAAGACAGAATTGAGGTACTCATGAAAAATCTATTCAACGGAAAGTCTAGATATGCTCCTAAGATCTCATAGCACCTAAAAACTAGTCAAGAACACCCCCAATAGCTCTAGCTCAAAGATTTTATGAAATGCACCAAAAGAGGCAAGAAAAGATAGCTTTTGGAGGGAGAAACTTAAGAGAGGAGAGCTGAGTTTCAAGCCATCATATGACCAAATTCCAAAGACCAAAAAAAACTCCAAAATCATTCCATAAACTCAACCAAAATAATGTTTTAAAACACCATTAAAATGGGGTTCGACCCCCTCCCCAAAAAAGAGAAATCTTGGATTGTACAGTATGAAGAGATATGGGGGGCACAAATTGGAGCCAAGAAACTTCAACAGATTCAGAAGGAATACCTATACATATCAGTTTTATCCTCCTCCCACTAAAAACTAAAAAACAACATCAAGAGGGTACTCAAAGGTTTCAATGACTAGTCCCTCAAGACCTTAGGAGAAAAAAGAGTTCCCAATCACCTTGGATGCCAAAATAGTAGTACATACGGAATCAGTCACCTTCAATGTGGTTGAGAACAAACCAAGTATTCCTACAATGACATCCTACACTGTTGTATGCTCAAGCGCTTTAGAGCCACACCTCACCACAACTACCTTTGCATGAAGCTACTAGGATGCCCAAAGGTATCATTACCATCTAAGAAAATTAAAGTGTGGCCCGCACTTCGAGTATATAGCTACACCACACCTCTCAAAATCCACATGTTCCCCAACATCGCTGGCAATCTCACACTAGAGTATGATATGTTAGAGCCCGAGGGCTCGAAAGGTTGAATTGCAGGGAGGCATCAAGACCTTTGTCATCGATGAAGACCAACCCCAATGCATCTTGCATAGGAATTAAACTACCTCTTAAGACAAAGGCCCCAATACTAGATATATTCCAAGCTAATAACCTCGATGCCTTTGCTTGGTCCCCTTCTGGCCTCCTAGGCGGCCGCCAAAGCATCATTAAACACCACCTCTACATCGAGCCAATAACCAAGCCCATATGCATGCCATGGGTTGTGCAAGATGTCCATAGAGAATGTTGAAGATGCCAAGGAAGAGTTCAAAAAGCTTCTAGACTAGTATGATAAGAGATGTGTGTTGTAGGTGGCATCACACATATGGCCCATTGCCTAAGCCTTCTTATGGTGAGCACCACCAATGAGCATCATTCCTAGTTCTATTTTCTAGGTGGTGCTTATTGATCGAAAAAAGACATGTTTCTGTTACATATCATATGCATTGTTTACATCACCCATTGTGACACTGCTTTGGTAA